TGAACTTACCCAAAGTGCTGCTGTTTTTCTAGAGTCTGGGGGCAGCTGATGAGTTCTCACCTGTACAAAGGGATGATACTGAGGTTTTCATGCAACAAAGATAGAAATCAAATATGCTTCATTAGTCATTATTTCGTAGCTGGCTGGTCTCATCACCTTTACCATTAGCAAAAAGCACTTTTCTCCAGCAAACTGCAATATTTATGAAGCACAGGAGAYGAAGTCCTCTGAGCCAGTCTCTTTAATCAGGTCTCTGCTTACATCAGGTAACAGGGAACATGAGCTCAACTCAAAAATAACCAACAAAATCACTAACGAAGTGCCAGCAAAAGCAGGTAACATCTACTGGCAACAAAAGACCTTTGACAACAAAATAACACATGACTCAGACACCGGGCTCTGCCTCAGCTGCTTATCTCCACTTCCTCATTCTTCATTAAAAAGAAAAGGGGAAGAGGGTTTAAACTTGACAAAGGCAAGGGGAAAGGCTGTTTTAAAATAAAAGATTCATGTACGCAGAAGGATTCCTTTGCCCACTTCTGCAAATGGGTGAAATGAAATAAAAATGGAAGAGACAAGCATGTTGCTGAGTCACGATGAGCCAGGATTAGCACCAGCCAACTGCTGATCATCTCAGCCCAAAAAAAGCTCCGAAGGGAGGGACACAGAGTCCGGACAGCAACTGGCAGGGCTGCATTACCTTTTATTTATTTTGTCAAAATTGTTTTGCAAAGACTAAATTGGAGCTGTAAAACAGTCAGTATAAGTTCTATATCATACAAGATATTCAGATGATGCAACCACTATCATGTYTACAGTGAAAAGGAATTATCATGTGTCTAATACATGGAAGAAATAGAAAGGAGAAACAGGAAGGAAAACAAATAAAACATAAACAGAAGCAAGCAGTCATATAAAATAAATTCCCAGTCATGAATCTGCCTGAAGAAGAGCTACAGTAGGTTTAATCATTTCATGTACTTTGTTTTGACCAGATGAACCTACAAAGGACCATCCATGCAAGGCATCTGAAAAGAGTTGAAAAATTCTCCTCCACTAGGTCRTATAAATATAAAAAGCACCGGAATGAAAGGCTTTGAAGGCAAAAATCTGAATCAGACATGAGGGACGATCTGGGATAAGTAATGAAGACTTTCAAATATATCACTTTGGCTTTGGGAGTAACTGAAAAAATAAAAATGCTGAATAAACCACAATATTCACAAATAGTTGCTACTGTTTGGTGTGTGAGGATGAGGGGCCAGAGGAAACACCAGTGTTATTAAGATTCCCTGATTCAGAGAAAAACAATTGCATCCTAATACAAGTTTCTAAAGACTCAACAAGCACATTTTCAACATGCCACTTTTWAAGAAGAGCAATAAATGCTTTAAGATGTGTAAACTACAGTCAAAAGAAAGAACTGTGAATTTTCTAACAGAATTGCTCGGAATGACATCCCTGTTTTCAGTGTTCTCAGACAGGGARAATTTCCATGTTCACAGGTACTGGCACTCAGGCACCTTCTTCCACACTGGATGAACTCAGTCACCTTATTTCAGACATTCTGGACTGAATAAATAAACGAATAACATAAAAATGTGATTATCTGTGATTAAACTATTTGGCTGGGGTGCAGGGGCAGATGTCTTTATTTCTGTACATACAGCCACAGGCAGCCACTGCAGATGACTAAAGCCAAAGCCTTAGGCTTGAAAATTCGTGATGACAAAGACACTTGTGTAGGTTTTCTCTGTGTTAGATAAAAGTCATAGCCTTTCATTGAAACTTTTTTTGGTAAAATAGAAGTACTGCWAAACTGTGTGGTTGGATTATTTAGACAATTTTTTCATTATCAYATCCTTCAGTCTCATATCTATATCTCACTGTTTCTGTTTTCAAGGCTTGCATTCAAGTATTTAATTCAGCACTCAGCTAAATTATAATGAAAATAAAACAACAATTACATTTAAAAAATAAAAACATGCTTCTGCAGAATGATGTGGCTTTTTCTCTTTTTTTTTTTTCCTTCTTTTCACCAGTTGTAATAATTGGAGAACTTTCTTCACGTATCTCCATTTGTCATGCTCATAGAAAAACTTTGAGTACGCAAGATTTCTGCAGAGACAAWTTTTGTATAAAACTGACAGTTTGCAAAAAATTCTCCTTTTGCGTGTGTGTATAAGCAGATACTTTCGTTCCATAATCCACAGCTGATTTGCAGAAGTTTAGCAACCTTTAGAGATAATGGAGAATGTGGAAACGTAAAGTCACATTGCTTTTTAAAAGTATATGAAATCTTAAAAAGCAATTAGCATGACAATTTACATTGTAGAACTGTTAAGTGCAGCAAATGTCCAAAAAACCTGAGAATCCAGATATCATAAATGGCTCTTAAACAAAAACAATAAATGCAACGATCACATATTTGTATGTGTATATATATATATATATATTTAAAATCACTTCCTTTTTTATTAATGCATAGTTGTTTGAGAATATCTTCCTAGCTATCACGGCAAGCTGARATCTTGCCACACTGTTCCTGCACACCTCCTTGTAGTGCAGAAGGCTTTGTTCAAAGATCACAGAAGGCAACGTTCTCTCAACTGCCTTTTGACCTATGGTGATGTGATCTCTCATAAACCTCCTAATGTTGTTTGGGGTGTTTTAACCTTTGAATTTTATTACATACCTCTCCTGTAACACCTCTTCCTGACATAGGAGCAGTTCAAAACCTTCCAGCAGTTTTTGTTCGTTTTTTTCATGCCCTGACACATAGATAACCTACAAAGATCATCACCTTCAAAGATCAACATGTATTTATATTTTAATATTTCAGATATTGATTGGTAAGCAAGCCTTTCCAAGTACTCCCTGAAGTCCTGAGCTCCACAATGAATATACATACTTGACAGTAAACAAGCAATACAAGCTGTAGGGCAGCAACCACCACATGAGCTGTAATCTTCACGTCAAACTAGCATCCTCCACCCAGATCACTGATCCACCTCAGGCATGACAGCCAGATTTGGATCAAGGTATTGGTGATCTGTGCAAGAGGATACTAGTTTGTCATGACTTCTGTTATGCCAAATAGACTTTTTTTTTAAATCCCTTTAAAGGAGGTGGCAAGAGAAGGACAAGAGAGGCATGGTGCACCTTATGTCCCCTCTCATGAAAGTACTTCAGTTGCGCCTGTGCTATCATGATAGCTCAAGCTCACAAGTTAAACATGTAGGGAAGGCTCTGCTGAAGGGACTGGCAGCTAAAAGGAGCTCAACAACCCCCTTGCACGTAGGTATCTGTCTGTCTGAAGACCATGCTCAGAGGGTCCCAGCAAGACATCTAACAGAACCCTGCAGGGCATCCCGCAGTGAAACAACAGAAAATCCCTATGGACTTAAAACCCCATCTTCGCCTCATCCAAATAAGTGTTAATTCCTGCCTGAGCAAACTGAACAGTTCCTCACCCCTGTCAGCCTATTTGCATGTAACCCTCACATTTTTGCTTTATCTTGTGACAAGCGCAAAATACTGCCACGGGATGAACCAGACTTTGGACTTGGACAGGCAGAGGAGAAGGAGAGCACCCAGCAGCGTTTATCTGAGGTCAGTGTTTCTTTTGAATCGCTGTACATGCAGGTGCCAGAACAAATCAGGCCACTATCTGAAGTGAGCGATCAAGGGCACTGAGCTTGCAAATCAGATTGATCCTGTGCTGGGACACGTGACAGGCCACAGTTGTCCTTAAATACGGCACTGAGTGACAGGTCACATGCCAGTGAGAGCAACAAAAGCTTTTTTTGAAGATCACCTGACCCATGTTGCAGATAGTTGTTTTGTTATCAAAACAGCAACACCACAAGCTACCATAAACAGTGCATAAATGCACAAGGTTTCTGACCCTGAGGAATGTGCACTGCCTGCCCCAGACGACACATTCCCAGCCCTACTGAARTTTCCCAGATCCAACTCCCTGCATCGCCTACCTCACAGTGGATAYAGGCAATACCTAAATGGCAGAAGGGCAGTTTTACTGGGGCATAACCTTTCGTGCAGTGTAAGGACGTGTGCTGCAAAAGCTGTCCCAACAGAGAGCGAAAATCAGCTCTTCCCCATGACGGAGCTCTTCCCCAGCTCCATCAAACTGCTGCACTCTCAGAAAAGGAGGCATTTTAATCAGAGATGAACTGCTGGCCAACACCTGTTGCCTTTACGCACCCCAATAACACCGATAACATGCGTGAGGGAAGCGGCTCTGCTAAAATCACCAAATCTTTCCTATTCCCAGATGGGAAAGCTGCTCTTAACCACGCTGAGAGGGGCTCCCTTGTCTCAGAGCCTTGTCCCTCACCACATGCAGAGCCTCTCCTCCTCCTTTGGGGCTCCTCCAGCAGCCTCTCCTCCTCCATCAGGGCTGTGCCTCATCTACCCAAGCCACGTTGACAGGATAGGGAGGGAGGAAGAGGTTCAGAGCTGGTGCCCTCCATGGCTGCTCCGCGGTGGGGTCAGCGGGAGCACCCCGGACCCCAGTGTCAGTCACGGGGAGCACCCCGCATCCCAGGACCCCAGGAGCACACTGGACCCCAGCGTCAGTCACGGGACGGGGTCAAGCCGGGGCAGCAGCTCCACTGCCCGTGTCACCCGAGGCTGGAGGTGCTGGCGACAAACAAACGATAAAAAAAAACACACAGAATCAAGCCCAAAATTCCCGTTGTGTAACAGGCCGCCGGGCCGGAGCAACGTCCAGCGAGGCGGGCGCGCTG